ACACACGTTTTTTTGAGCTGCTGCTCTAAGCCAGACCTAGATGCTGGGAACACACTGAGGAGCTTTGTTATGTATCGAAGGCCTGTCTGTGAAGGATGTAACTATTTGGAAACAGGGGTTTCTTTTGTAATGTTAATGAGGCCATGCCAGAGTCCGGTAGGTCCTAAACCTAATCACTTGAGTTACAGACTGAGCAGAAGAGACCCTGACACACACTTGGAGAAGACAGAGGCCCGTCTACAAGTTACAGATGGAGCAGAGGAGACCCTGACTCACACAGGGAGAAGACAGAGGCCTGTCCACAAGCTCAGGATCCCCAGAAACCAGGAGAGAAGCTCCCAGAAGGATCTGACATGGCTGAGACCCCGATTTGGCCTTCTAGCCTTCAGAACTGTGAGAAAATACATCTCTTCTTTAAAGTCACCCATTTGTAACTGAGACAGACCCATAGCTTACAGGGCAGAGAGACAGTGAATAAGGACACAGATCGCCCAGCACCAGTGCTAAGGTAGGAGAAGGCAGCTCACAGGATGCTTCCCGCCATTTGTCTCACCCATTCTGAGAAACACCTCCCTGAGAAGTGCCCATTAGGTGAACACCTGAAGGATACGTAGAAGGTAGCTAGGCAGAGGGGAAGGCACAAATGGTGATGACCAGAAGAGGACACCAGGCAGAGGGAACAGCATGTGCAAAGGCTGCCTTCAGAGGAGTGGCTGGTGGGTTTGAACCGCCAGCCGTCTGGTTAGCAGGCAAGTGTCTTAGCCACTATGCTACCACAGCTCCCATGTCACATCGGGGGAGCAGGAATTTATCCAATGGCTAGAGGATGCTGTGGAAGGCTTAAGAGTAGACTGCCATGGTATGATTTACTGTCTCGAAGGTCTACTCTGACTCTGTGCAGAATGGATCAGGGCAAAGGCAGGGTATTGCTTCTCTCTTATATTCCTCTGCCTCTCACAGCCAGAGAGAGGAGCAGGAGAGGTGTCCATCCCCAAGATCTCTCCTGGGAAGGCCTCCCCAGCAACATGGCTCCTGTCCTTCCCCCAGTCTCCTCCTTTCTTAGCCAAACCCCACTGCATCAAAGGAGACAGCAGGAGGCTATTCTGCCCGGATGTAGGGGCATAACGCAAAGATACCCACCCCCTCAATAATGGGTCAGCAGCGTGGCCCCTGGCAGCTAGCGGGAGGAAAGGCCGGGGACTCACCGCCAAGTAGGTCCGGTCCCGCTCAATCAGATCAGCCAGGCGGTTCAGCAGCTGGCCCCGATCGGACGCATCCATCCGGCGCCACGGTGAGCCCAGCTGGAA